TGATGGACAAAATTATGTTACAATCTTTGATAAATTTTCAAAAATGGGACAAGCTTTTCAATTAAAATCAAAATCTGCGATTGAAGTATGTAACAATCTCATTAAATATTTTTCATTTTATGGATTACCTGAAAAAATAGTAATGGATAATGGAAAGGAATTTAATAATGAAACTGTGAAAGAATTGCTAAAAGTACATAAAATAAATATCCACTTCACAACCCCTATGCACCATGAAGGTAATTCGCCTGTCGAACGCTTTCATTCAACTCTATTAGAGCATCTAAGAATATTACGTTCAAAGTATAAAAATGATACCAATATAATAGAATATGCCCTCATTGCATATAACAGTTCCATACATTCAACCACCAAATACACACCCTTCGAACTAATATTAGGACACACAGCGTCTCGAGATCCGAACGAACTTATTGAAAGTACATTTTATGCAGATTATGTCGATAACCACAAAAATAAACTAAAAAGTATCTATCAAAAGGTAAATGAGACAAATGAACAGACAAAACAAAAAATAATTAATAAACATAACATCAAAGGACCTACTCAAATTCAATTTAAATTAGGTCCGACAGTGTTTAAATGTAACGAGAAACGAAATAAAAAGGAAAATAAATTTTCTGGCCCATTCGAAATAATAGAAATTCTTGAAAATAATAAAGTGAAAGTAAAAAACAAAAAGAATAATAAAATCATTGTTCTTCATGTTAAAGAATTAAGAATACCCGTTTCTGTTACAGAATCGTGTTCTTAGTTGCTGTAATCGGAACATCTATCTTTCAACCAATCGAAAACAACCCCGGACTTTTCCCTTATAAAGTTGGAATCGCACAAAACCAGGTGAATACATGGACATCTATCCAAATGTTTGATTTAGCAACTATTAGTAAGGAGTTTACTACTCTAAAGACATCTACAAATAATTTAAAACAAGCATTTGAACAATATGAAAATAGTGCGGGCTATAAAAACGAATTTCAAAATTCTCTTCAGATATTGGCTACACTCGAAGAGAAAATACAATCACAATTTTTGCAAATTGACCCACCGTTGATGAAATCAAATAAGAAAAAACGTGGACTTATAAATGGGTTAGGCTCATTTATAAAATTAATAACAGGAAACCTAGATAGTGAAGATGCTGAACGTTACGACAACCTTCTAAAAACGCTCTCCGAAAACCAGAACGGAATAAAATCTATTCTTGAAGACCAAACATCAATTCTAGAAAACTCGATTCAAAAATTCAATAATACAACAAATTTGCTGGCGCACAATCAAGTAATTATCCAAAGCCGAATTATGCAAATTGAACAAAATATTAAACAAACTAAAATCACTATGGTAGAAAATTTCCACCTATTGCTGATACAAACTGTCTTATTTCAAATAATTACAGAATATCAAATGATTGATAATATTTTGGAAAACCTAGGAAACGCAATAACTTTTGCAAAGTTGAATATTCTTCATAATTCTATTGTAGAACCTATAGATTTACTAAAAGAATTAAATATTATTAAAAAATATTTAAATAAAAATCATAAATTAATCTGTGAACCAGAATTGGAAAATCTATTATTCTTCGAAAAGTTGGCAATAGTGAAAAGTTATTTTAAACCCGATAAACTGATTTTTATTATAGAAATTCCAATTACCGAAAAGGAAAGCTATTCTTACTTTCAACTATTCCCACTTCCAGTAAAAAATCTAAAAACCTATCAATCGATATTTCCACCTACGAAATTCCTTGTTCTAAATGAGCATAAATACATACTGATTAATGATCCATGCTACGAGATAACTGAATCCGAATTTTTGTGTAAAAATAATAATCCGATAAATATCGACGTCAGTTCACCCTGTGAAGTACAGTTATTGAAATATAAAAGGAACGTGACCAATTGTAATATGATTAACGTTTCCTTGAAGAATGTTAAACTACAAAAACTGTCAGGAAGACATTTTCTATTAATTGTCCCAACAGAATTAATCGCTGAGCAAAAATGTGGAGAAGAGAAAGAATATATCCCGCTTGAAGGACCCTATATAGTGGAACTTACCCCAGATTGTGAAGTAAAACTGGACCAAATTACTTTAAGAATTTATCAACAATCTAAACTGAAACTTAAACCAATTCAACTCCCAAATCTTAATTATTTAACACCTATAAGTAATCATGAAGAAAATAATTTGCAACCACTAGTATTGGATACAATTCCACTGGATGACTTAAAAACTATTGGAACTGCATTGGAAACACAAAAAAATAAAATTAACAAAATTAAAGAAAACGTAATAAATGTAAAAGGATTAAGTATCTGGACATTACTCCTTTATATTGGTTTGTTCCTGATACTGATATACTTCGTTTGGATAATGGTACACCGATGGAAAAATAGGTCTAATCCTGAAGAAACTACAGAAGTAGAAGAGTATGCTGTTTAACTCATACCCTTCTAGAAGGGTAGTTCCTAAGGGGGGAGAAGTTATATGTTGATAAAGTGTAGACGTAGACTAAACAAAATGCAATTTCGCCGAATCGGTTGCTGATAAGTGCATCATTATGTGCAAGCTCTGGTGCCTCGTTTCTCGCCGGATTAAAAGTTAGTTGCTTCTTAACTTCAGGGCGCTCACGTTGTAAATTCGCATGAATTGTCGGTTCCAAAGTTGTACTTTAAGAAATAAAGTCAAATTTTTTAAAAACTGTTTTCACCGATTCCACCACGAAACTCGCGAGTTAATTCCAAATTCCATTTCAACCAATATGATCAGTCATTTTAAATTCTGGTATAAGTCAATTAGACTTTGCGGCATTTAACAATAAAAATTATAGTTGGTATTTGAATAAGAACGTTTTATTCACCAAAACAATGTACAATCATTTAAACGAAATATAAATGAGTGCACAACGGTTCGGCATTTTATTTTGCGTGACAAATAGGAGGGACGTTCAGACTACAGTAATGCCCTCAAACAGTGTAGTTAAATCTGCCCTAGTAGAGGTCAATTTCGTCTAGCGACGACGGATCTTAAATCTTAAAAACATTCTGAGAAAATTTTATCCAGATACAATTACAAACAATTAGCAATATTTTTGAGTTTTCAATAGATGATAAATTTGTGTATATAGAATATCATTATTCCAAATGTAGGATGTGTTAAGTTTTTTTTTTTGTCTAAACGAACGGTGAGCAGGCCATCAGCGAGGTGACATGGTTCGCATCTGACACTAAAAAAATATCCTGAGTACCAAAGATTATTAAGATTCATAAAGCAAACTTAATATTACTTAATATCACCAGACATCACAGATAACAGATATATCTTGCATAAAATCTGGAACTGAGTTTAGATTGGTACTAAGGGCAGGACACACATAGTACCTATTTCAATCACTAGTGCTGATTATTCCGATCGTGCAATGGATACTAAGGACAGAGACACGCGACAGTGCAATAAACAACAGGTCATAATATACTGAAGGGCAGAGACACGCATCAGTATATTGGTACCAAGGGCAGAGACACGTATAGCACCTCTTTCAATTTCTAGTGCTGATTATTCCGATCGTGCAATGGATACTAAGGGCAGAGACACGCGAAGTATCCTGTCGCAAATAACCAGACCGGCACTGAAGGGCAGAGACACGCGACAGTGCAATAACAACAATATTTTGAAGGGCAGAGACACTCGACAGTAGCCCCGACTTTCAACAAGCAAAGGAACAACGTTTAAAATAGTTCAAAGAGAGAACACACTAATATTTAACCAAATTCCTTGGGTATATTTTATAAATTAAAAATGAAACCGATCAATAAATAAATCATTTGGTTAGTTTTTTTTGGTATTTTCGCCATCATGAAATGCAACTACTGTACTCGTGAGAACATTCAATTTTAAGGCTTCGCAATTTCACGTAACGCAAACACACCCCGCAACAGTCGAATGCACGGTTAACCGAGAAACGTCGAAAAGATATTTCTTAAAATGTTACTGCACCCCAAAACTATGTTTATTTTAAATGAAGCCCTTCTACTAATCGATATTCTGACAGAGCGAGGGGCGAGAAATGTGTTTTTTTTAAAGAAAACATCTGGCTCACATCTGGTTGCTTATTGCGTCGTACGTACTAAAATTTTAGAGGGTAGCTTAAAAATATATGCGTCTTACACAAATTTTAATGTTTATATCTTCATCACTTCATCATGTGGTTAAATCTGGCCGTGATTTATAGGATTATGTTACTGGTACAAACACAAAATAAAAGCGATTCCAGAATAAAACAAAAGCCTGTAACATTTTCAAATAATAAACAAGGCAAGGTCTGGGAATCGCTGTTTAGAAACAAAATACTAATCAAAGATGACTCAAAGTACAGGTTAGTACGTGAAACTAAACGCCATAGCAGTTATCAGAGTAGCACATACAAATAGCAGACCAAACCATGATCAAAGTCTATAAACTATTACAATTAATAAAAAATAAGTAGAATGCTTTGAATAGTCAATAGAGAAGAAGTATATAATAATAGAAATTAACTTAAACATTAACTAAATTAGACTGGGATCCTGAGTTTTGTAGAAAACCTTTATCTTTGTCTTGAATAATTCTTAGTCAGGTTCTGGATTTCCGTGGTAAGTTTATGATACAGACGTAACAAATAAAGAGTTCATAGTTCATACTGCAAGTCGAAGTCTGAGTGGTCTCCCTTTTCAGCTAATTTTCGGTAAAATATGTGGCGGAAAAGAAAATTTTGATTGGAATCTGTTTGAAATCAACAAGAAAAAGCTCCTATGCGAATCAGACGAAAGAAAATTTTATCATGTACCACAAGGGTAATCTTGATTTAATTTTACTATTTTTCAATTTGTTTACAACAGCGTCACATGACGCTACGTAAACGCTCCTACTTCAAATAAAGCTCGCAGATTTCGTCAAATGACCAATTTCTCTATAAGATTACGACATATATATACCTGAACCTCCGCCAGTCACAATTGCGGTTTTTCCAACCATGCACACTTTGCTGCGGCAGTAGAAACAAACAATTTTGTTTAGGCTGATAAATATTACGATCAGTACGACTATCGCAAAAATGCACCCCATTCCGCAGCAATATGGCACCGGAATAAGAGTGAATTTTTTTCACCAAACAAAACGAATTTACTTGGCACAATTGGTTTAATCGAATTTTAATTGACGAACGAGTACATATAAAACATACGTGTTTTATTACGACAGCAATTTCAATGCATTTTTTTAATTGAGTAGAGTTTTCCTTGACATTCCGTTGTCCGTGTTCATTGTTAAATGTGTATGTAAAACATGTAGAATATTATACCTAGTGACTTCCTTAATATAAAAAATATACATTTAGTACTAGCAGTTGTACAGGGTGTGCAAATGCTATTGGGCTCAAGTTTCCTTCGAAAAAATTTTAAATTTCTAATTCTGATCAAGAAGCAAGTGATTATTTCCTTACTGAAAATGTATTGGAAGGTAGGGCAATAGAACCTCATTGCGAATGCAAAATGCGAATACTTAAGCCACTTTATTAAATTACCAGTAAACTGTCAAATAGAAATTAATGAAGAAAAATTCTTCAACGATGTGAAAATCCAGTTCGGAAAACCAATATTTTTACCAAAAATCCAATTGACAGAAATGAAAGCAATGAAAGCAATGAAAGTCCTCCCATGGAACCAGTGGAAGAAGAAACGAATACGTTCCAAATAATTGTTATTGTTTTTGGAATAATTATGGTCCTAATTTTAGTTTTCATCATCAAGAAGCTCTTATTCGGATGGGTACGAGAATTGAAGAAAATCGCATCCAAAGAGGAAACCTGCCAGGGAGAAAATCTTGAAGCTTTTTCGAAAAAACCTCCGTTATTTTCGAAAGTTTGGATCAATTTATGGGTTTTGACTATTGTTTTCCATTACCTAAACACACATTCACAAAAAGGAAAGGATTAAATTTTAACAGACTTATGGCTTATGTTAAAAGTTGTAACTAGTTATATGTCCCAAACTGCAGACGAAGCCCAAAGCAAAGCGAAGATAACGCATCGCTGACACCGCATTAAAAACCTTATTTATTCGATTGTAATATTGTGAAATACGCTCTTAATTATTCCAACCTTTGTAACGGCCAGTTCGAATAAAACTTTATTTCGCTTTCCGTGTAATAAATGTTTTAAAAAACGCTCTCCCGAATTTTGAACATTTAAGTGGCGCAGTCGGAACGGATTTTCTAAGTGCAGTAGTGGTGGACAATTAACCAGAATCTTCTGGGAGTTTTTTGGACACCCGCTACGTGGATTTTTAAATCCTTCAGCACGCAGAACCAGCAGCATGGGAAGCAGAACGACGGTCTACGAAGTTACAACCCGCATGTGACGAGTTGGAAAATTGAGCCTGAAAGGATTTCCTTTTGCCCCTCCGAAACCTCTGTATAAGGTCACTTGAACGGATAGTTTAGGGCTCGCATTGCACGCGATTAGGTTAAGAAAACAAGAAAAGAAAAAAGAAAACAAATCAAATCAAATCGTAAATAAGCGATTCTGAAATCGAAAACCTCGAAAAACAATTCAATTCAATTTTAAAGTTTGGGAACAAAACACAAAAAAGAGTCAAAACAATGACCCAAAAAGGAAACTCAGGTAATATGAGTAGTGCGGAACCTAGATTTAATTGGAATCTTTTTAAATGTAAAGTAGATAACATAAAACCATATAACGGAAATAACGACACGCTAAACAAATTTATTGCTAAGTGCGAAAGATTAATAAATTCCTACGTTAGTTTAGGAGATGCGGAACTAAATAGCCATATCTTCGATTGTATCGTAGACAAACTAGTAGGGAAAGCAGAGTTAATGGTAGGAAACCGATCAGAATTGACAGATTAGGTTAAGCATAAAAGACGCGCTTATTCAATGCTTCGCAGATAGGATAAATTTAGATTGTCTAATTCCGGAATTAACTAGAACAAGACCGTTCAAAAACGAACATTTAGTTGATTTCGGTGGTAGGCTACAACTTTTAAAGAGTAGTGTAAGACAGCGGATTAGTAATTCAGAAGATTTAGATCAAAATGAAAAACTGAAAATGAAATGAAATGAAAATGAAAATCGCGCTTAATACATTCATAGCTGGATGCACCTGGATGCTCAAAAACAACATGCATTTGAAACAACCAGATTGTTTAGAGGAAGCCATTGCTTATGATTCTGAATTTGAAAATTTTGAAAACCTCTACGGGAATCTAAGCAACACAACGAAACAATTCCAAATACCCAATTTTCAACAAGGTAATTCAAAACAATTCCAAATACCCAACTTCCAATAAAACAATGCAAAGCAATTCCAAACACCAAATTTTTGAACAATTCAACATGAAACAACATTTTCAACCATTTCAACAATTCCAAAATCAGCCGAATCTAAATAGATTTCAGCCTAGAATAAATGCCAACACAAGTTTTATGCCAAACAATTTTAACAATTTTTCAAATCCAAGCCAATATCAAAATCAATTCCAAAAACCACGATTTCCATCTCAACCAATAAATATTCAACCAAGGCAAATACCTCAAAGACGATTTCCAACAAATCGGGAAGTTTGCGGACCCCCCCAAAATGTCTTCAAACCTAATCAAATATCACCCAACCAACTTTCAAAACCGACACCAATGTCAGGTATCTCAAAACAAATGAATAATTCATTTACAAGACGACCGATAAGACAAAATTACTTTACAAACAACAATCAACCCCCGAATTTTATCGCGGAAGAACTATTTAATCAAGAATGCGACGAAAACTTTGCTTATCCTGTTAACCAAAACGAGTATAATGATTATAACGAATTTGAGGAAAATTACGAACAAAACGTCGAAACACAAAATCCAAATGACGAAAATTTTCGCGAACTCAGCCAAACAAACAACCCACCCTTGTAGAAATTAATATTTCTTCTAACAACCCTTTACCGTATATTCAAATACGTAAACCAAATATTAAACTACTAATAGACACAGGTAGTTCACGTTCGATATTACGTCCAACTATCGCTGAAAAATATTTTCCAAATTGCATTTATCATAAAAATAATGAAATAAAGACAGCAGTAGGAAGTCAAAATACCAGATTTCAAGCTAGAATACAAGCATTAACATCGATTATCGATAGATTTTATCTTATTTCATTTTCACGACTTTTTTGACGGAGTAATAGGTTTAACTGATTTAATTAATATGAATCTGAATATCGATTTATTAAATACAAAATTAATAGAATTTAACAACGAAATTCCATTTAAATATAGAAAACCATTGACACAATGTTTGAAAAAGGAAAACAAAGTCGAACACACAAAAGAATTCATTGATTCTTTTAATACGCGTAAAAATGTGCTAACTTCAGAGCCAGTATTATCTTATCTGAACTTTACAAAAAAATTTGAATTAACAACCGACGCATCGAAATATGCCATCTCAGGCATTTTATCCCAAGACGGACACCCAATATGCTACGCATCAAGAACGCTGAACCCAGCAGAGATTAAATATAAAAAAGGTAAAAACAACCAAGTAGCGGACGCTTTATCACGATATCCAACAGATACGAACGCTCTTGAAACTTACTCGATATTTAACAACTTAGAAGAACGAGCAGATTTTAATGATCAAAAATATGCTTTCATTAAAACAAAATTTAGAAGTAAAGAATTTCCTAAATTTAAAAAGATACCGTTAATACACCAAACGGAAAACAAATTAATAACAACAAAGACAAATATCATAGAAAAAGGGCAAAGAGGCCAAAGGCTAATAAAAATCTATTCTTTCAGGAAACCAATGAAGATAAAAATGTTGACTCTTCTACTCGTAGCAGCTTTAACCGAACGAATAATAACGACAGACGTACAAGTTACCAAACTCGTAAATCCTATACTTCCTATCCAGATAGGTAACGCGAAATTAATTTATAACAAACATACATTTATCCATTATGTAGATTTAAGCCAAATAATTAATCACGTAGTAAGCATAGAGAACGTATTTAAAATAATTAAAGATAAGTTTAATGTTAAAAATATAACTAATAATATTTCTTATTATGGACTTGCCGAAAATTTACTTCTAAGAACTGAATATTTAATACAAATTACGGTGGAAAAACTTGAAAATTTACATCCACATGTTCGTAAGGAACGAGGCTTAATTAACGCGGTTGGTAAAATAAATAAATGGCTATTTGGAACTCTCGACGCTGACGACGGAAATTATTATAAAGCAGCAATAAATACACTTGAGAAAAACCAAAATAATTTAGCCAAAGAACTAAAAAAACTAACCAAAACTATTGTGAAATTAAATGAAAATCAACGAAAACTACAAACTGGTTTAAAAACATTCCAAAATGCAGTATTAATGACGATAAACTCTTTACAAGACTATCTTAGTTTTCACGGTATCATTACGCAATGAAACTTAGATTGCCAAAATATTATAATGTTTCTAGATAACCTAGAAGGCGCTATTATGTTTGCAAAAGTTAATGCGCTTCATAATAGTATTTTACCGATTTCGGATTTGAATAAAATGCTTAAATATTTAGCATCAATTTATAAAGAAAATCAAATTCCCCAATTTAAAAACATTTTATCTTCTTATCAAATTTTGGGAACTCAGGTAAACTTTGTTGACTCGAAAGTGATCTTTGCAGTCCATGTCCCAATTTTAAGGTCCGAAATATTTTCCTTTTACCATACTTTCCCAATAATCCAAAATCAATCATTTTTTATACCCCAATACCCCTTCTACAGGAGGGGCGGCATTCTGGACGCCCTCTAGAGCGGCCTGGGGGCACAACGGGTGGCCTAAGTGCTTGGACGCCCGCGAGGGCGCCCCCCTTTAATACCAATACCAATACCAATACCCCTATATGGCACAAGCGGAGAAGAAGAGACAATTCACCGCAGAAACATGTCCCGTCATCGAAGAAATCTACTTTTGTAAAGAAGAAACTCATCCCCGAGATGTATGCGTGGAGAATTTATTTGACGACATCGGAATGGAAAACTGCCCAATTACGAAAATGAACCTGTCAGAGGCAATTATAGAACAAATCACTCGAAATTTAGTCCTTGTTTCGCCACAGAAGCCTGAAAAATTACTAATTAAGCGTAACACGGATTGATATATGCAAATCGAAGTACCAGTACTGATTAAATTACCAGTAAACTGTCAAATAGAAATTAGTGAAGAAAAATTCTTCAACGATGTGAAAATCCAGTTCGGAAAACCAATATTTTTACCAAAAATCCAATTGACAGAAATGAAAGCAATGAAAGCAATGAAAGTCCTCCCATGGAACCAGTGGAAGAAGAAACGAATACGTTCCAAATAATTGTTATTGTTTTTGGAATAATTATGGTCCTAATTTTAGTTTTCATCATCAAGAAGCTCTTATTCGGAAAGGTACGAGAATTGAAGAAAATCGCATCCAAAGAGGAAACCTGCCAGGGAGAAAATCTTGAAGCTTTTTCGAAAAAACACTCCGTTATTTTCGAAAGTTTGGATCAATTTATGGGTTTTGACTATTGTTTTCCATTACCTAAACACACATTCACAAAAAGGAAAGGATTAAATTTTAACAGACTTATGGCTTATGTTAAAAGTTGTAACTAGTTATATGTCCCAAACTGCAGACGAAGCCCAAAGCAAAGCGAAGATAACGCATCGCTGACACCGCATTAAAAGCCCTACTTATTCGATTGTAATATTGTAAAATACGCTCTTAATTATTCCAACCTTTGTAACGGCCAGTTCGAATAAAACCTCTCCCAAATTTTGAACATTTAAGTAACTGTAACCTATTTATTGCTGAACCAAAAATATATTATGTATTTCCTTCACGTTAAAATTAACGGTATATTTTGTTAGACATTGGGCGATATATAGCGATATAACTAATCCAAAGTATTAAAAAGGTGTTAGGTAGGATATAATATACGAGGTGTGTTCAAATAGTAAGGTGACTTTTGTATTCGATATCTTTTTTGTTTTGTGGGTACACATGTCGCTAACATATGTTCACAGTTTCAGCCAGTTTGCACTTTTACTTCGTGAGTCAGAAGCTACGTGTGTCGTGAAAATACGTGTTTTGTGTGTTAGGCGAGTCTTTACTGTATAGAAAAATGGAACAAAGAATGTCAAGGTTTTGCTTACTATTCTTTGATTAAGGTCAATAAAGAGTATTACCTTGAAGTTATGCGCCGTTTGCGAGAAGCTATACGAAGAAAACGTCCGGAATTGTGGGAAAACAATTATTGTTATTTAGGATGTTAAATGATATTTAAATTAAAAATAGAATGCTGTTATTTGTCTTTATTACTTTCCTATAATACATTCGAATTATGTCATATCAGTATTTTTCTTATTTTCTCTTTGTCTCTTCTAATAGACCATATAAGGTGCTTTTAAATTGAATGTCAATAATTAGGAAGGCGATTTTTGGGTTCACTTTAAAAAAAAATTCATATGAAATTATGTTCTAAACGTCTTAACTTTTGAGATACAGGGTGGAAAAGTTTTCAAAAATAAAATATATTTTTTTAATATTTATAATACTACTTTAGATATTTTAATGAAATTTGGCACACATATACTGTGTATCAAAAGTCATTATTTAGTTCCTTCAAAGAGTTCGTGGCAATATGAGGAAAAGGAAACAACTTATCTAGTTTCTATGTTCTACTTTTTTTTCAAAATGGTTGTTATTCATTTATTAAGAAACAACTTTGTTAAATATTATTAATAGTAGGTGGTGTATTGTTTTACAATAAGAATCGTTTATTGTTTATCTTGTTGTTAGGACTCTAGTTGGTAACTAAAAACTATATATTTTCGCAAAAAAAATCCTTAATAAAAATAATGATATTTCCATTTATTTATGAGCAGATTTAATATCTTAATTGTCGCCAAAATCTCACTTGGCATCTTCAATGCTCGCGCTCCGAAAACACTTCGAACACTTCGAACACACGGAGCGCGAGCATTGAAGATGCCAAGTGAGATTTTGGCGAAACGTCTGCAGGATTCCAGTCGGATGCAAGATTCCAGTCGGAGTTCAAAGAGCGAACGGATGATATCCCGGAATATAGTGTCATCGCATTTTTCCATCCGTGAAAATATATATATGTATATATATATATATATATATATATATATATATATATATATATATATATATATATATATATATATATATATATATATATATATATATATATATATATATATATATATATATATATATATATATATATATATATATATATATATATATATGTATCTACGGATTGGAAACTTTTTAACTTAAAAATAATGTTTGGTGAAGTATGTACAAAATTTTGCCAAAATTTCATTAATCAAGAACGAGTTACATTAAAAAAATAATAACTTTTAAAAAACCTCTTTTCAGTTCGGGTAATAAAAATCTTAAATTTTGATATTTTTATTACGATTTTACCTTTTTGATAACATTTAATTTTAAACCGCTGTAAAAACTACAAACTACTTTTTTGTTTTCCCAACACCAATTTTCACAAGGGGTTTGACATTTGTTTTTGAAATTTCCATATACAGTTTCCATGTGATCAAGTAGCCAAGATTACATAATTTCTCCTATTCTTGTCCTGAATTTCTATTTTTCAGTTCACTGGTCTTAATTCCTCAATAACAATATTTCATTCTTTTATTTCTTTTCATTTCTTTTATTACCGTTATTGATTGTAATTTTAATTTATGTATGTGCCACAATACTCAATAAAATGTTCTAAAAAATACCAAAAATTATTTCCCACAATTTAGCTTAAAGGTACATGAAAAAGTGTTAATCAAGCGGGCACTTTGGCAGTACATCAATTGAGGTATTTTGATTAACTAATTTGAACTAATTCCTGCAAACAAAATTATTCAAACCTGCGCTCTATTTTGTAAACAACACGTCAAGTTAAATCGTTATTAACGTTTGGTTATAATTTGTTGTGGACATATCAATCAGAAAAGCTCGGCCCGTGAAGTTACATTTATTCAGCAACCGAAACGACCTTTTCAATATGCTATAGCACGATTTTGATTATTTTATGTGGTCTACTATGAAAAGTATCCCAATACGGCTAATGTGACTTTCACACAAATGCAGAATATCTAGCTGAGAACAATGAATACGTTCGTTTTACTGCTCGTGAGCGTCAACTTAGCTATCAACGCTTATTGCGGTAACAGTACCAGTAACGACAGCGAAAAACTGAAAGATGTATTGAGAAATAACAGAACTTCGAGAAGCAAAAACGATACTGAAGACGGCAAGAACGTACTTCAGACACAAGCCTCGAGTAAATTAAGAGAGTGCGGAGTCCAGCCTAACGACGATAATGACAATTATGACGGAAATGCTTCTAGTAACTCGAATTTTAATGAATATGGTAATACCTACGGTTCGAGAAATTCAAATTCAAATTCGCAGTAAGTACATTTAATTTCACTTGAATACTTTATTTAATTTGTTATTAATAATGTTTTATAGATTCATATTTTGCTTTTGGATATTGTTTTTCCCATATAGCTATTAGAATATATATCCAGACACTTCACTCGTTTTGCCTTTGCAGTATTAAAAGTTATTGACGATCTCTAAGCTCCATGTTGGTTCTTAAATGTCACAAAGTCTCTTCTAAAGTTTAGTTTCTTCATAGGTATTACTAGAATAGACAGGGACTCTATATCTCTAGTAGATGGTTTTTCCATATTATTTCTCTCATAAATCCGCTGATCGTTGATGCTCTCATCGCTTGAGTTTGTGTTTCCTCTATTAAATCCCTCTCACTTGATATTGTTACTACAAGGTAATTGAAGTTCATTGTATAATGTTGTCTGCATCCTATAAGGTAGGCTCTGTAGGTCAACTTCATTCTATGCAACTAGTACTCCATCATCCGCACAAGAAAACATTTTTAGTGATCGATCTCCCGTTGTGTACCCTGTGTTGGCGTTGTTGATGCTTTCCATGATTCTGTCCATGAATACTGTAGGGCTGAGGCTGTCTTCCTGTTGTATAACCTAGACCTTGTTCTATTTCCTGGGTTCAGTTCTATAGTAATATTTTGATATTTATGATTCATATTGTTCTTAACTAGAATCTTTGACATGTCCTTCAATAGTACTTGATTAAAGGCATTAGTGAGGTCAACAAAACTTCAAACATAGGCTTTTTGAACTTTATTTTTATTAGTTGTAGTATTGTCTTTATTGCTTTCTGCTGCTGAACTGTTATTGCTATAATTTTAGTGAAAAGTTTTAAAACTGAGCTTTACAAGTTTATGATGCTAAAATTGTCTTTTTTGTAATAGGAGATTTTTTTATATAATTTATCAATTTTTCTACCTGTTCGGGTTTTTGTTGAACTCGTTTCAATCGCTCATCCTTCTTTGAACCAAGACGTCGTCATATATTTTGTTTATTTTTGTTAATGAAACTAATGTAACCGGCAAAAGAATAACGAAACTTTTTAAATTATTTAGAAATAAAAAATAAATCTTGATATTAGTATTCTTTACTAATTGATTTATTTGACTCAAGAACTAGAAATTAATGATTAAATAGTGTACACGTTTAGGTAAACACCTGTGTATTTCGTCGTTGTGTATGGCGTGATGCACATTCTAATTCTACATCGATCGAAAAAGCCTTTTCCTATACCTATATTCAAGGATTTGTCGCTATTTCCTATTTCCTAACAAACGACGATAAAACCCCAAAGTTATTTCTAATTGGCATTGACTTTGACCAAGTTTGACGTATTATTGGTTTTCTTTAATTCAGAAGAGTTAGGGAAATCTGGAACTGATGAGTCAATTCATCTTTGGAAGTCAGTTGTCCACAACGTGGCTGTATAAAAGAATTAGTGTACTTTTTCTACGTCTGCACAATGTACAAAATAGAGATTAACTATGGAATGGAATATTTCGTATCGTACTTAAATAATACTTCTAATTTAATAAAGAAAGAAAACGTTACTTCTCATCAAATTATGAATTGCAAATCAATTTTCAAATTGTAAATTATCATTCTTGTGCCGTCGTGTACGCTATAAGCGTTTATTAACAGTTAAAAATGGTTAAAAGTATATACACATAGCTTCCTGTACATCATCTTTCTAGCTTGTTGGTGTCGTTCCTTTTTTCTTTCTTTCGGAAGGAACCCAATTCCAGATTTTCTTAGGCCATCTATTCAATGTCATTCCTTCGAGATGTTTTTTACTTAGTGAGCCAGCTATATCCATTTGCTCTTTTATTTGCTAGTTTCTTAGGGGCTCCATTTTTAAAGGTACTATTACTTCTTCATGTAATCCAATCGTGGAGCCATCCTTATTTCACTTCATCAACGTCCAGGTTTCTAGTTCATAAGTGCTTAGTGTTTCAAAGATTGACGTGCATATCATTGTTTGGTCCTTTTCGGAATTCCATCCAAAGCAGGGAGTTCTCTTCTCATATAAATCTTTTTTCGTGCCTTTTTGGATACCGTCTCTCCACTGGTTGCAGTGTTTTATGGTTTTTTCATCTCTGATCGTTGTCACCTATAGCCACTCTTTGTATGGTATTTTATATTAATTGTATTGATAACTGATAATTGTATTTGTCTTATAAATATAATATAAATATGTAAATATTTAATTTTGTTATAAAATTTCTAATATTAGCCCTTACACCTCTATGCAAGTGACCTCAATGTCTTTTGAAATTTTCCGATATAAATGGGACTCAATTTTCCCTAAGAAAATGTAGTTTTGTTTCGTTTGGTTTTAAGGAACAGGTACGGGTCCAGTCAATCAAATAACAGACCGCAGCGCAATTACAATGGAGATAACGTCGGTAACAATTTTCAAAATGAGGAAAATAGACGAAACTCTAACCAGGAAGGTAATAGACACTATTATGAAAGTAGCTCGGACAGAGGCGACGACTCTGGTGACAGATACAGCAATTCAAGAAGAAACTCCTACGAAAATTCGCATTTCGGTGGCGGCTCCACCCAAAAAGCAAACTATTCCAAACTACACCCTTACAGTACCAATCCGTATCAGTCTAATAGTCGTGGAACTGATATAGATAACGACGATCACTCAAACCAAAATCGTAATAACGATCGAGGCAATAATCGATACAACGGAAACGGTTCCTGGGGCTATAGCTCTGAAGGTGGTCGGACTAACTACGGATATAGGCATTCCGGTAATTCCGGAATACAAAACAATGACCGCGATGAAAACTTCCGGTTTGGGTATAACAATGGCGGCAGTAATTATGCGACCAGCCAAAACCCGTTTAAAAACCAATGGTACGGGTCTAACGGCAACAGGGCCGGAGGGAACAGTGGGGGTAATAGTGGGACAAATTACAATTTTAATCCATATGGTGACGATTGCGACGAAGATGGTCAAAATAGAGGTAAGCGGTAAACCAATGAACCAAGGAATTAGGTGTAATTTTCGGAGAGTTCTCTAAGTTCGTTTGTCTGATGTTTATTATTATTCACGAGCGGCTGAATATAGCCAATGTGTTGCTTGCTATATTTTTTCTACGAGCATTATTTTTTGGGTACATTTTTGAAAAACAGCACGAATATATTCACTGAGTGGTGTGTCACGTGACATCAGAACTGACAAACGTCAAAACACTATGGCTAAAATCTACCGAAAACATCCGATCGCTCTCAAACTTGAGACTAAATTAGCGGAAATATGTTAGCTCACGACCGCGGTAATTAAGATGATGCCTCAAAGTGACGGAAGTATGAAAAAAAAATATTCAAAACATTTTGCGTAGAAAATTGGATATGGCACGTATTTCAAAGTCATGAGAATATTGAATAATTTGACAAGGTTTTTAAATGCCACTGTCAAAGCTTAGAAAGAAAATATTGACATTTAATAGTCTTCCAGCATCATTTGAAGTTTTGTATGTTGGTGTGTTTGTTTATTGCATTATACATGACATGAAACCAACCCTAAGTATTTATTTTAATTTTAAATTGATATTAAACTTATATTGTTCGTACAATTTCGATTCAGCATCAAGTAAAGTAATTTTGCTTTGGTCAGTTGATCTATATTTACATGGAAATGCTATTAGCATGGCGTAGAAGAGTATATTTATGACAATTCTGTGTAACTTTGTGAATTAAATTAAAAATTAAATAAATTAATTGCAATTTTCTATTTAATTTTAATCCTGTCAACCACTGGAACCATAAGCTTAAAATATTTAGCAATTAGCTATATATAAATCTTCAATTAAACCTAAAATATTATATATTAAAATGGTACTTTGGTATCCTTAAATTCCATTTTTATAAAAATTTTCTTTACGAAACATATTTTTGTTTTGTTTTTCTGGTAATAGGAAATGCATTTCAGAGACATCTACTTGCGCCACTTGCAAAATAATTTCTCTGTAATTTTCTACATTTCAAATAAAAATTAATCAGATATAAAACAAAATGCTTATTTTAAATAACAAATTTTATTTTCCATTCTTTTGTTATAGTTTTTAAACATAACCTCAAGCACTTAGGTACCTGGGACCATTTAGACAATTTTTCGCATTTTTTAGGATGCCAACAATTGCATTTTTAGCAGTCAATAACCATAATATAGTATTCAAAACTTTAAATTTAAAAATATTTTTAGGTTATTTGGGCGTATATAGGACTTACATATAAAAAATCTATATGTTTTATGTTAGAAAAATCTAGTGTAATAAAACCTCATTAAGTATGCAAAGATACCTACTACAGATTGATCCAACGAATACTTCTTTCTTTTTTTCGAGTGCAGTTAGTAAACCCCGGTTTAGGTAAATTTATGAGTTGTTTGCTCTTCCATTCACCAACAATGATGTGCCAAAGACTTCCCGGTCTCGTAAAACGGAAAGAAAATAGATAATATAATTAAACATTATACAGCAATAAGTAAGAAAGAAGAAAGGAAGTATTCAAGTTGCCACATTTTCTCCTCTACTGCTTTTCGTCAGTCTTCACAAGTCCTTTCACTTACAGCAATACAAGTTCTATAGTATTTTCTTTTCCACGATATGCTGGTGTGCCACCGTTACACTATGCTTCTCTTCAAGGGCTTATTTCATAAAGCGATGTCTGTTTAAATTTGCTATATATAATAATTCCTTTATTTTTGGTTCTAGATAACCGTCATTAATCCGCATTTCATTAAGATAAAGGATTTTCTGTTGCTGTTTTCGATAATGCTTTATATTTCTCAAGTATTTTCGTGACGAGCAAACAATTTCATCGCTTTCCTGTACAAGTGCTTTACGGTTGCAGACATACATATACCTTATGAAGTGGTCCGTAAAAGTATTCTAGTTATCAATGGAATACAGTCAGTCTTGCTAAGCTACATCAAAAACTTTTCTTCGAATTACACAGATTGATACCAGTTTGCCTTAATTTTTCTTGGGGGTTCCACTTCATCTGCTGTCTTTCTCGCCCGCAATAATTTCAAAACCTTCTATTATTCGACAATATAGGTCATAGGCACAGTTTGTTGCGCAGTAAAATTCGGGCAATCGTATTTTTTGAAGTTACTTATAGACAGTGTAGAATTACTGTTAACACTACAGCTCAGCAGCAGAATCTGATGGGTTAAAATAAACAAATATACACATATGACATAACCTATAATTAAAAAAATCAATTGAAATAATCTATATATGAAATTCACTAAATTAAATTCATGAATATATTACGAGATAAACTTTTCTTCTTTTTGAATTACACTTCAGGTGCCCTCACCAAAGACTGATACTAGTCTACCTGACCGATCGAAGACTAAATCGATCGCAAAGTATAATCTAATTGCACCAAAAAATACCATACTGACATTACTTTCTGTAATCGTAGAAAACAACGGCGGTTATGGTTACCTGCACCATCGCCATATGCCTCCAGTCATGAAAAATCTTCTAAAAGGAACACGAAAGAAGCGATATAGTTTCGGAATTCATAAAACGAACAAATCGAATAACAACGATCAAGTAAGTTTCTAACAAGGTCTCTTAAATATTTGGTATTTTGACAATCCGGGAAATATACTTCAATAAAAATCAACCACTATTCCAAAACTGCTAAATGTCAAGTTTTTGTATTCTGTTGTTTGAGGAACTCTGTATATCTCATTATTTGATTCAAGGTTATATAAACTTCTTATTTGGGTTTTAAAAGTAGCTACACTCTTTTCGTCCAATGTTCTACCTTGAACTACTTAGAACGTGTGCGACTCAAATCGGAACAAATTTTTCGGTCAGTAACCTCAATACAATTTAATGTAAGCAACGTAGGAGTCCGTGCATTTCTTTCCAAATAATTAGTTGAATTCACTGCTGTTGCTATTAGAAATGAGCCTTAATAGCAATTTTGGAAAATGTCAAAATGATCACAAATTGATCGAACTACGAAAACCTGACCCACCTCTCCAATATACTAACCCAGCTTAACACCTTTTTGGAAAAAGCCGATAAAGACATCTATTTTGTTTGTAAGAATCTATGGTGCTGCTAACTTTAATTTAATTTACATCGTTTAATAAGTTATTAACAACTGGAACAGGGCTATTCTCCTCAACTATTTTATGATGACATGAGAAATACAATAATCCATATTTTTCAATAACTTTTATTAAACATTTAAATTAAATGTATACTTTCTAACTAACACATTTTTTAAGCTACTCGACAAATTAAAAATTGGTACAAGTAAACATTTATTTTATATTATCATAACCTCATAATATCAACCAAGATTCAACTAAAATTTTCTATTAACATGTGCCCGGATACATTCTGGAAGGTATTTTGACGAAGTTTGTTAAAGTACTTCATCATGCTGGACGTTATGTTGTACTTGACGATGTCAGTTCTTTAAATTTCTTTTTATTATACCATTTGTTTATTGCTTTAATTTGAATCACTCAAATAATGGGACAAAACTAAAAATTTGCATAATTTTGAAACGCCTTAAAACCTCCTCGAGTGCCACCGTGCGAACAGGATCCAGTCTGATGATATGATGTTTTCTCAAAATGTATTTTTATGGATAAAAAATTAATTTTATCATATATTTTGAATAGTATGTGACGATAGAGTTAGGTAAGGGGTATATCCAAATGATTGTGCTGCCGCCTAGCGGTTAGTCTTCACAGTAACAGAAAAGTCATATACAATAGCAGGGACAGAAAACCGCAACAAAGTGTAATGTTTGCGTTTGAGTCAGTGATTGATGACATATGGTAAAGTAATCGTGGTAAGAACTTTACAATTAATTGTTGTCGGGCCATGCCACTCTGTGCAAAAAGCGCTCGTCAGGAGTTGATATAGATAGAAACGTCTTCGTTTTTAAATCGTCTTAATTCATTATTTTGCAGTGTATCAGTCAGTGCGTCTTCGCCCATTTGCAAATCGTAAGTAGCTACGTGGAAACCAAAGACAATAAATCCCATAAGAACCAAATTGTCAATTAATCATAATGCAGTCATAAAAGGCTACGCATCCAGAATTAACGAGATATTCGAAGGGATACTTAAGTTGCTGCTTTATTTTTTACGTTGCAATTAAGAAAAATTGAGGAAGGTAAATATTTATGGTGTAATGATAAAAAGCCGATTTGGTAAAAAATGAATGTTCATGACAGTAACTCCATCTGTAAATTTTATGAGAAGAAAGAATAGAAAAAATTACAGCCAGCTGTATATTATATAGTGGTTTATTGTCAACCGTCTCTATTGTGCTTTAATGTCTTCGGTGAAAGTCATGGGTAGTTTTCAAATGTACAGGGTGCTGAAATTTAATACATATTTAAGTTAGATGACTACAGATCGCCATCGGAGACCATGTTCGTCAAATGGATCCAAGATCATTATAAAGAGAGCGACGCAGAAAGAGTTGATACGCTGAGACACGTGAGGAGATGTTTCGCGAGATTGACAAGCACTGGTGGGTAATGGGTATGGTCTGTTCATAGATATAAGAAAGTGACCAATTGCTTTTGAATGGGATTATCCAAGGGCGGTCATTAACATACAATGCAACAAGATTATTACCAAAAGTTTCGGAATTTAAATTCAGGTGTGGTCTGTAATAGAAAATAATTTTATACCTACCTGTGTTTAATATTCTTTGGTTTGGTTTCCTTAGTTTAAGTTTATTAGTAATCATTCTTATTTCGTATATAATACAGTGTGTGTTGAATCGTGTGCGAATTATGCAAAATATGTGCGAGTCTAGTGTATCTCATTAGATGCTCCCACCCAAATGTAGAAAACACTATTCTATTGAGACTAAGGAAGTTATAAACAATGTATATTTGACTCTCATAGAACGTGGTGCCAGCAAGCAAGCATCTTAAGAAGAAACGGCCACATTGACGAAAATTCCAACATCAACTGTATGGAAAATTGTGAATGGGATTAATTACAGTGAGGAAAAAAAGAAGCGATGCTGACATTTTCTCGAGTGTAGATGAAAGTGGTCAAGATATAATACGGCGTAAAATTTACAGTTATACGAGGAACAAAGCGTGCCTACATTAGATATCTTAATTAGGAGGCTGGAAAAAGATGAAACCGGCCAATTATTTACTTGGATGAAACCTGGTTCGACACTTATGATACCCCCGAAAAGGGTTGGGTTGACTCAAGTGATAAGTGTAAAACAAACGCGCCATCAAAAAGAGGTAAAAAAATAACTAGTTTGCATGCTGGCTCTAAAGATGGTTGGATTCCAAATGGACTTTCTCTGTCTGCGAAAAATATTAAAGATTCTTCTCTGGATTATCATGAGGACACCAACGCTGATTTATTTGAAAGTTGGTTTAAAAACAATTTTTTTCACGAAGATTATATCAAAAAGCAATTAATTGAGGTTCTACAAAGCTTGAACCCACAAAAGGAATACGTCTGTGATAATTATGCAAAAAATCTAGGGCATACAGTTTTAAGACTTCCACCTTACCACTGTATATTTAATCCCATTGAACATGTTTGGCACCAACTGAAATCTGCCATTCGTCGTAACAATTTTATTCCCCGTGTTAACTCCAATGTCCTCAAACTTATGGAAACCGAAGTTTTTAACATCCCTCCACAAAGTTGGGCAAAAGCAGAACAATCGTATATCGTATATATTGCAAATAATATAGAACAATAACAAATAATAGAACAGGCGATGATAGCGATAGTGATACTGATATATTATGTGAATAATTTTCAGTAATTTAAGTAGGTAATAAAAATAATTTGTTATTTTATTTTAGATTCAAACATAAATACAAAACTAAATAAATAAATATTGTTTAGTATCTTTCCTAACAAAACCCCAAATAATTAAATTCTAAGCAAAGTACGGACCTGTTCGGCCATATTTCATTCTTACAACTTGCCCGGGTCTTTTCTTAATTCGTATCAGTTAGTCACTTTCTTATATCTATGAGCAGACGTTACTGTGAAATCAGTTTTCAAGTAATAGATATTTTCTATGTATGTGTTGGTAAAAAGCAATGCTTTAAACGTACTCTGAAAATGCCGGGTTGAGAGAAAAAGTTAATATGACTGAGACTTTAATTTTAAATAGTTTTAGTTAGTTATAGATTATAGGTTTTGTATAACCATACATACAAGGCCTTTAATGGTATTTTGCGGTGTTGAGAAAAAGTTTATGGTGTTGTGTATCGCATTTACAATTCTCGCTATTCTACAAAGTGGACAATGGAATATTTGACAAAATCATGGCGGCAATTTGCAATTTTATAAAGAAACTATTAGATTAGATTAGAGGTGATGAGCAGGACTACAATCATGATTCTGGGTTGTGAAATGTTTCTTAAATGAGATAAATAAATCTCCGTAGAACCTCTACAGTGGACTCCAAACTAGGTTACCAAATGAAAGCTTGCCAAAAACAAACGTGTTAAACAATAACCTTAATATTTGTAATGCCTACAGATATAATCTAAAGATATTTAAGCAAACTAAATCGATATGCATGTCAAACATTAGCTTGGAACAAATAATAATTTTAAGTCCCTGATGTGGTCTACTTTTGATAAAATATTACTATTATTTTTGTAATCAAAATTTGCTACTGATTTATTTCTTGTATAAAAAGTAGTTTGGAATTATTGATTATAATTGAAAAAGAAATTGAGAATCATTTTTAAAAATGTGTCTACTTCGCCCATTGTATATAAGTGCCAGTGACTTTATTGGTTAATGATTAATGGTTAACAAAAACTATTATCACCCAAGTTACGACTTATTTGTTGAGAGATGAAGCAATTATTCTACAAGTGACTAGCAAGCAGTCAGTTTAATGATCTAAAAAATAACAATATACTTTATTGTAAAACCAGTAGTAGCAGCTACTGAAAGTCTGCAAATCGTGCGAAAAAATTTTGCATAATATACTATTATAATGGCAATCCAAAATAATTCTCAAAGTAAATAAATGGCAAACCAAGAAAAATGAAATAATACATGTTTAATTAGAGTATTGTCATAATCATATTGTTTTGTTTCAGATATTGAAGACGGTTGCGAATTTTCAAGTCGGCTGTCCGAATGTCTTAATTTGTCTTTAGAGATTTGATTTCTTGTACACCGAACCAAGAATTTCCTAGCTTAGACACGGTGGTGCTTTTATGAATAAACAATACTGTTTTTGATTGTCTCCGGCATAACAGTGCTTCAGTTAAACTTCTTTTAAGTCACCTTCCCTAGCGACAGCAGATTGTTATGCACCTATTAGGGCAAACAGCCTCTACAATGACCGCAGAGGATACCTTCTTACCTTTTACCATTTTTAACCATTGTTGTATTGTTAGGTTATAGCCGAAAATATAATTGCTTGGATGTGAGTTTTATCGGGCAAACACAACTATAGACCAAACTGACATAACTAACCAAAGCTACCATCTTATTTACTTTTCTCATAAGATAAAGCGGTTCGACACATAAAAAACTAGCGTTTGGTTAGTATTTGCCCCTATATAAAAAGCATACAGATGTGAGCTGGTGATTAATTTTGCACAAACATAAGCTTATGAAATATAGGTATAAAATACAATGAATGGTAGATATTATTTTTTCGTCATTCAACAATTTGATAAGTGTAAACCATCTTGGGGCTTTCCTTGATCCGAATGCAACGTGTGGAAAACTTTCAAGAGGTATACTTGTGGCGCCAACTGCTTGCAAAAGATAGTGTGAATTATAATTATGGTTTATATTATATGGTAAAAAATTGTATAGGTTTATAATATATCCGTGCTCTTTGATTTGCTTCAACAGCTGGCATTACTCAATAGGCGCAAATATTAGAAAAACTTCTATTTCGTGAATAAATTTATGAAGAACATGGACTAATTTTATGAATTAATTCGCAATTGTATAAGAGAAAAGTCCAAATTTGGCAAATTAGAGTTAGTGCATTGTTGTTCTGAGAAGTTTACTATATTTTATGCTGCCTACTATTTATATTTGACAAAGTCGTGTGCTTGCTAACATAAGTACCTTTTTCCTATAGGTCTATGCAATTCATTATATTCTTAATTATCATTTCACGCTGTTAATTTTACGATTGACTTAGGTCTGTTTTCACATTAGTTTGAAACTTATTTGGGCGTGTGCGGAGTAAATTGTGAAAATTGTTGGCACACAAGCATACAGCTTGGAAAAGTAAAAGGTTAAAGCACAGTTTTAAAGAATATCTAAAATGGATTCATCAGATGAATATGAATATTTAATTTCACGACAATGATTTGGATTTATTTTTAGAAGAAACAATAAAACCAAAAAACCTCGGATTATCTTGGGCAAAATAGAGAATTATCGTTACTAATATTTTTAGATTTATTTTATTAAAAAACTTACGAAAAAAGACAGGGTACCAAACAATCCGAAACTTCACATGAAAATGTCTCAGGATTTAAATTCAAAACCAGATTTAACAATGATTTAAGTCACATGTTTACATGGCAATTATTCCAGAACAAGTAACAAGAAACAAAGAAAACCTAAAAATGTGCGTTGACATTTCTTCTTCTTATATTATTTAAGATTAAGCTAGCTATATATTAAAATTAATACAAGTACAAGACTGTACACTTGCGTACAGTCGCGCCATCTAGTCTGAGCTAGCGACAAGACTATCGCTGTTCCACGCTTTGTTATGCAATAAGCATTTTCTTTCCTAAAATCTCGAATTTGTAGCATGGTTGCGATAGGTGGCGCTGCATTAAGCTTTTTCATAAGTGTATGGACTAAATGTCAAAGTTCGGGAATTCTATTTTACGAATTCATGCATTTTTATAATTAATTGCGTAGCGGAGAGTTTACTCGTATGTACTTACGTAATCTGGTATCGAGATAAAAGCCTCGGTTTCTATAAGGGCGCAACAAACACTCACACTTCCTGATTGATTCGAAATGAGTTTGTAGTCGGAGTTTACCAAAGCTGAAATAACCTGAAAGTCCATTGGGAATGTTGTTAATGAGTAGACGAATGGACATTAGAGCATAGCGGAGGCAGGAAATAATTTTACTGTTTAATCTTTTGTGAAGACCGCTTGGCTATAAATGAATCTTCGAAACGTACCTTATTTATTGTTAGATTGTTCTGATTGATGTTAGTTTATTATTATTTATCTAGTGTTACGAAAATTAAAAAAGGAGTCGTACACATTGTCAGAATAGTTAATAAATGAAAGAGTATAGCGCAAAGACTGGTATCTTACTTAATCTTTGGTGAGGTGTGACGGGACCATTAGAACTGACAAACTTCAAAATATCAGGGCTAAAATATACCAGAAACCTTTAATTCTTCCCAAACTAGTGACTAAGTGACTAAATTACCAAAAACTTTCGAAACGGTATGTGACCTTTAGCTAAAGAAGCTGATATCTTGCAGTGACACTTTGAGCAAGCTTGATCGGTGCATAATTAGATATGTTATAGTAGGCGAATAGAATAGAATATTACGCAACAAGTGCGGTAAACGGCATTTGACTCACGAGTTTATTTGACACGACCGAAGCGCAGCAGAGCGAGTTTTTAATAAACGAGTGAGTTAAAAAGTTTACCGAATTTGTTGAATACTATACTTTTTCTACGACCGTTAGTGTTTGGGTCCATTTTCGCAAAACAACACGAATACATTCACTGACATGACCGTCAGAATTGACAAACGTCAAAATTCAAAGCATGGGAAATCTCTGAAAACATCCGATTGCTCCCAAATCCGTGCGGTAAAATCCCGAATGTCCGAAGTGGCTCGGATTCATGGGAAACGAAACTGACGTGGTAAAGTGACGCTTCCCGCACGCTAGATCGGTGGGTAATTAGGTACTTTACAGGCGGGAGTAGAAAAAATATTTGAAACTAAGCAGTCGTATACCGTGTTGTAACTTATGGCTAACTTATTACACATTGCTTTAATCTCTTTGGTTCGCTCTAGACTAGAGTATGCATCTGTGGTCTGATTTGAATATGCCTGCCATACAGATAACATTGAAGCCGTTCAGAAAATATTTTTAAGATATTTGGCTTCAAGGGCGTTTATCAATATCTATAATGGGTATCAGATCAACTGCAGTATTATAACTAAGGCCGTCAATATTGATACTCTTCAAACCAGAAGATTTCAAAGTGATTTAGTTTTTCTCTTTAGGATTCTGAATGGTTGGTATTATCGTCCAGCTCCTGTATATAGCATACAATTTAACCCACATCACAGAAGCTGTGATAACTCAATGTTCCACATTCATTACCATCGCGCAAATTATGGAGTTTATTCATCTCTTACTAGAGTACTGAAAGCGTGCAACTGTCTTAAGCTTGATCCTTTTGTCCGCAGCCTCTACTCATTGTGATGTTTTCTGTTTGAATTCTACCACTTAACTCTATTTATTGTTATTGTTATATTTTGTTCTGGTTTCTAAATGTTATACTGCTGTCTATTTCTCTGTTTGCCTTTAATTAATGTGAAAGTTTTGTAAATTGGTTAAACCGTAAATAAATAAATAAATCAATAATTTATCTAAATTTGACGATATAAGCTTTATGTTGTTCGGCCTGTTTAATGATGGCATTAAACATTTTCATTTTATTACTCTCTGGCTTTAAGAAACCAAGTATAACGCTTCTGCTTCGAAAATATCCACACCGAGTTACTGGTAATTTACTCAATTTTTCCGCCTTGAAAAAACATACCGTATACTCTATTTTTCACTCGGCTATCATAAATAACTGGTTAATGAAATGGCAAACGAAACGGAAACGTTTGCGTGGCGGAAATGAGATTGAGGGTAACATTATTATCCTCCGTGCATTTTTTTCCGTGCCTGTATTCGTTTAATTCGGGTACATGCGGATGGAGGCTTTTCCATCTCCAAAATAAATAGATTTCGGAAAAGTGCGCCACCGAACAAGCGAACAGCGCAAGAGATTAATATTATCGGAATATGGAGGAACTTGACGTAAGGGTTTTTTTTGTTTATTCGAATGTACCCTGCGTTCAATTTACCGAAATATCAAGTTAAATAAAAAACATGGTCTAGGGTTAGCAACCATATATTTTGATAATCACATATAAAAGAAAACACTAATAGTCTCTGAGATTTAAAGGGAAAACCCTGCAGGTTTTATAGGTATTGAGTAGAACACGTTATTTTCAATGAATACTTAATAAGTAATGATTTCGAAGACTGCTATGACTGAAAATTAAAGTTATTCTTCTTGTTGGTATGTTAGCTTTGTTCACGGAATCCAACATATTGTTGATTGGTGATTGCGCGTTCGGGGTCTAAATACGTTCCGCATTGACAGTTCTACGCAGTAAAATTAAACATATTATTATTGTATAGATGGACTCATGTGATACTTTACTTTTTTGGATTTGTATAAATAATACAGAAAGCAAGTGGATTGTTTAAAAATAAAAGAAATAGCTAAAGAGGCTCAAATTAAAAAAAAAAAACGCTGCAAATTGCGAATACGTATGGAGGGTTTTAGAAAGAGCACATAACAATTACGTAGTCGACCCCAATCAAACCGGAGTCGGACTTGAGAGAAAAGGTTTTGAATATCACAAATAATGACGTAAATTTTCGGGAAGAAAAGAATGTGCAGCCTGAGGTTCTTCTGGCAGCATGGTGTGGATGAACTGTGGAGCATATCGACCATTAACAAATCCTCTTTTACTATTTATAAATCTTCTGACGTTTTGTCAATCACCCTGTTGGCGTTTTCAGAGCATAACTGAAAATGGTTTACGTTCTTCTCTGTACCTGCTGGGGGTGAGAGATAAAGGAGGGACATGAACATGGGCTCGGATGACTTTTTGCCATATTTTCGACACCTGAATCGCAGGTAAGATTGTTTGGTTTCTATGGATTCTCGGATTTTTCTTTGGTAGAAGAATTGATTACGTGCAAGAATTTTGTCGAGTAATATTTGATTGGTTTCATCACTATGTTCAGCAACTACCGATGAGTTTATTTGTCGTAGTTTTAAAGCTGTTTCACGTTCTTTTGTTGGTATTTTTCGTCCGGTCTCTCCAATATATTCGTTGTCGCATATGCATGGGATGCTGTAAACTTTTAGTGTTTTAAACCTAATTTTGTCTTTGATGGATATAAGATATTGAGAGATTTTTGGACGATTGGTAATTCTCGTCTCACAGAGATAGTTCATAAAAAGACGATTAACGTCAAAATAAACGCTCTTAGTATCCCACCAAGTCCCACCAATATTCGGTTTTGAAAACAAACTAAAAATGACTGACAGATTTATTGCAAGCGAAGATTGGAGCAGGATAAACTAGATCATTCATTTATTAACATATTTGACATCTAACCTAACATACTAGTGCTACTATTATTTTTCTTCTCCTTGCTATTAAAATGAAAGAAAATATTACGTTTAGTTTTACGAATATTTCCTTTTCGCTTTTAAATTGTAAATGATACGTAATCAGCAAGGGAAATATTTAATCGCACTTTATTTCGGATATTTTAATTCGAACTATTATTATATTATTAGAATTACCGTTTTTGCAACAATATAACAGTCACAAATGTCCACGCATGTGTCTGCTGATTATTTGGATTGATCCCGAATCGGCCGTAAACAAGTCGAAGTGTTTTCACGAACGTCGATTTGTTTATCAAAATCGGGTAAGGGATTAGTTTTGGGATCGCTTCTCGCAGTTATTATTTCATTTTAAACAGTATTTGGCGAATTTAGCATACCTCAAAGAAGTGATAAACTTCAAATATACTAAATTGGTTAAGGCTTTCGCGGCCCGTTGATGAGCTATTATCTTGATTCGGGTTTAAAGGCCGTCGTCGGTTGGAATTACTTCCTAACGTTTCGCTAGCACGAGTGGCGAGCTTCTTCAGACTGTAGTCTACGTCCAACATCGGAGATGGAAGGACCTCTGCAGAAGCTCGCCACTCGTGCTAGCGAAACGTTAGGAAGTAATTCCAACCGACGACGGCCTTTAAACCCGAATCAAGATAATAGCTCTTCAAATATACTATCCGAATAATAAAATAGCCGCTATGCGTCGCTAGCATTCAAGGCGGTGAGTTCCTTTCAAACGGATATTTGCAAAACTGGCAAATAAATTTAAAGGAACCGGTAAAATATTGAATAGAAATAGCAATATCTCACTGTAAACGTGTTTTAAATAAAGAAAATAAAACATATATATTAGGTTTTTATAGCAGTTCAATCCATTCAGTTTGAGAAATATAATTACACCTGATTTAAATTTCGTTAAACCAATAACCTGAGCGAAGAACGATACCAAAGGAGGATGCATTTAAGAAAAAAATGGGAACCGTTATATATGGCCAGTCCTGATTATCTCAGTACAGTTGGTTGAAAACGACGCTTCAGATGATCGCGCATGCACATATCAAATCACCTGTCTCAATATTTTTCGTCGCATCAAAAGTTGCTGTATTATTAGCATTAGGCAGGGACTGTGTATCTAGTAGCTGTATGGTCTTGACGGTCAGGTGTGTATAATATTCCAGAAGAATCGAAACGAATTATATATTGTTGTGTTGTTCCTTTTTATTCTTCGATAAATTAATCGTTTAATAAGCAATGAGGCGACCACAGGTGCTTCTGCATACTTCAGATTCAGATTTAAAACTGTTTCAAACGTAGCTTGTGTTAGCCATTAGTGCCAGTCCATCAGGACTGACGGAAAATTGGACGTGCATCGGCTTTAACGAACATAGTAATTCAAAAATAGTATACTATGCAACAAGTGTTATACGGTATTTGAGTCACGAGTTTATTTATCACAAGGGAAAGGGTATTTATTAAACGAATGACTTAAAAATTTCACCAAATGTATTGCATACTATACTTTTTCTATGACCTTTAGTTTTCGGGTACTTTTGTGCAAAAAACACCACGACTACATTCACTGACATGAAACTGGCGTGGTAAAATGATATTTTCCTGACGCTAGATCGGTGTATAATTAGAAGGGAGTAGAATAATAGTATATTTGGCAACAAATATGATAAAAGTCATTGGAGTCATGAGGTTATACGGCACGAGCGGAGCGAGTGTTTAATAAACGACTGACTTAAAAAGTTTACCACATGTGTAGCATACTATATTTTTTCTACGACCGCTAGTTTTTCGGAGCATTTTTACAAAACAACACAAATACATTCACT